AATATTCGAGAATGCGAGACACAACCCAAGGGCGGGGGTGGGCAGCCGTGCGTCCGGCGCATGAACAGACATGCCACCCACACACACACAATAATTCACTCGAATGTTCTCTCTTCTTCTCCCATTGGTGTGGTTTGCTCTTGCCGGAGGGCACGGTACAAGAAAGGGGTAGGGATATGAGTCTCCTAAAGGCTGATCAGGTGCGGAGGGAGCTGTTCGTCGCCTACAGCCAGCAGATCGCTACGCTCCTTGGTGAGACAGAAGACGGAGAACCCATTGAGTCGCATGAGGCTGATGAGAATGCGTCTGAGTGTGATATGAAAGGAGAGGATGCGNAGACAGAAGACGGAGAACCCATTGAGTCGCATGAGGCTGATGAGAATGCGTCTGAGTGTGATATGAAAGGAGAGGATGCGTCACTCCTGTCGAAGCGCTTCCGTGTGTCGTACGCACGGCAGCACCTTCTCCGCCAGCGGGCGTTGCGGCTGCCGGCGAGCGACGGCAAGGCGGGTGGTGCCCACCTCACGTCCTCAACAGCAGACAACGAAACGGCGGCAGGAGCAACAGCAACACCAGAGGAACACGAGGGTGAGCACGTGGTGGAGGAGGAGGGATGGCGCACGGCGTATACAGAGCCGTACCCGTCGCTGCAGCGCCTCATGCGGCGCGTGCAGGATGAGTCCCTGCAAATCTTGTTGCGTGAGGCACGCGTTCCAGTGGAAGCCCTCCGTGGCGACGAATACACGTCGCAGCGCATGGCCCTCCTGCACCAGATTGAGGAGCAGATTGGGAAGGAACGCATTGCCCTCTTGGCAAAGCAGCATCCGATGGATGGGAAACTACACCAGATCGAGTAGCAGAAAAGGCCGGGAGTATAAGCTGCAGCAGTAGCCATGTTCCCATGTTGGTTATGTACATTGATGATACATGGTAGCTGTCAAACGGCTCAGCAGCCAAATGACTGCTACTACTGCACCTTTCTGATAATGATGGTGTCGACGAGGAGTACGACAGATGTGTGCTTCTTTGTTGATGTCCACTACTGTTGTTTGCGGGTTTTTTTTTGTGGTGACGTTGTGGTATAAGGAGAGAAGGGATATTTAAAGGGGGAAAAAGTTGACCATAGCAAAAACTCCATCAATACCCAGAGGAAATAATAGGATTCTCTCAAGAGAGTGCCAAATACACACGCACACATATGGGTCAACCAAACGGTAAGGAAGGGAAGTACTCTAAGCAGCGCAGGGCCGACCATGCGACACTAGATCGCGAGGCTGCCCCTGCTTCTGTCACGGCGCACAGTGTGGGTGTGCGCACCTCCGCGGTGCGGGAGAACGTCCTGCAGCAGACGCCTCAGTACCGCGATCCCATGGCGGAGTCCAGTCTGATCGGGCGCAGCTCCGGCGCCGTGCAGAAGCGCAATAGCGCGACTGCTTCTGCTGCTGCTGCTGCTGCTGCGCCGGCGAAAAAGTTCCCTGTGGTACTGCGCTACGCGGACAAGGACGTCAAGGCGCTGCTAGCCAAGAAGCAGAAGCTCTTTGTGGTGGTTGAGGCGTTGGGGTGGAAGCCGGTGCCGATGGCGCCGAGCGAGGACTCCTTCTACGCGCTCCTCGAGCTCGCGCCGGGTTTGCACCGCTACCGCTTCCTCCTCGACGACAAGGCGGTGGTCGACAACACGCAGCCGCTCGAGGAGCTGGTGCAGGAGGCCGGCAAGGACGCGCCAGCGAACCTGCTGCAGCTCAACGACGTGCTGCTCACAACGAAGGAGGATGAGGAGGTGATGGACGACGGCGAGGGATGGGGGCAGGAGCAGATCATGTTTGAGGAGTCGCGCAAGTACCCGCCCATCGTGCCGGTGCATCTGCGCTACACTCCACTCAACACGCCACCCACTGGCGTGCGCTGCACGCGCGACGGCGTCGTGTCGGCGGCGGGCGATGTCGTCTCGCCGGAGCACCTGCCGCTCCCGCTGAATGTCACGATCAACCACATCTACTTTCAGCGCCGTGAGGACCACTCCGTGATGGGGCTGACGACGCGCTACTGTAACAAGTACACCACGGTCGTGTACTACTCAAAGATGGGGACGCCGAGTGAGTGAGTGCTTTATATGTCTCTGCATGTGCGGCGAAGACGCAGGAGGAATCTGTCTCTCTCACCCCCGCACTTGGTGTGTCTGTCTTGCGTGTGTGTGTCCGTTTTTTTCTGCGTCAGTGTAAAGTGGAGCTGCAGGTAGGTGTAGAGAGAGAGAGAGACAGAGCGAGAGAGGGATAAACGTGATAAATGGTGTCGCTGCTGGTTGTGGTGTTATGGGTGGTGTCGGAGAGGGAAAGCAGGGTGCTCGCGAATATACTGCGAATAAAAAAAAGAATTTAGTGCAGCATGTGAAGGCAAATACAACACAGAGAAATGCGCACGGACGCGTATACACAGGTAGAGGGGGTGGGGGCTGAGTAAATCGAGGGTACTGATTCCGTTAGTGGGAGCTGCCATGAGCTCTCTCTACTATTGCTCACTCCCTGAACCCCTGTTTTGCGAGCGGCATGGGTGGGTGGGGCATGCGGTTGATGGTGGGGGATATGCGCTGTTTCGCGATTCGGTTCAGTCTGTGTTTCCCGCAGTTCTTCGTTGTCTTTTTTTTTTTTCTTTCGCTTTCATTGCGAAGCGACTTGGTGGCTGTGTAAAGGAGGCTGAATGGGACGACAGAGAGCACGGAAGCGAACTACTGTCTTTCTTTATTCCATGAACATGCGTGTGTTCACAAATCCCCAACGTTTTTCTTCGTGGCTTTATTTCATTCCGTTCTTTTCTTGCTTGGAGGTGGTGTGGGGGAATGTTTTCTTTTCTTTTGTCTCTCTCTCTCTCTCTCTCTCTCTCTCTCTCCCCCCCAACTGTGGCTGCTAGGAACAAGAGCGCACATCATGTTCCCGATGCGTCGCGTGGCGTCCATCTTGTGTTACTGCTGCCTCGTCGGCGCCGCCATTTTCATCGCGACCGCCGTCGCGTCGAGCCCTGCGGTTGGGGCGACGATGTCCGACACGTTTGCCGCGTGGGTCGCGGAGAGCATCGCACAGGTGCCGCAGTTGGCAGGGCGCACGCGCGGAGCAGTGCTGAGGTGTGTGCCAGCTGCAGCAATGCCCCACCTGGGGCCATTCCTCAAGGGGTTCACGTCAATGACGCTCGTGGGGCAGGGATTCCGCGGCATTCCTGGCGCGGCGGTGGCGGCGGCGGCGGCGGCGCCAGCGTCTGGTGTGGCGGACGCCGTGGCTGTCATCATGGTGCAGCCGGTGGAGAAGCTCTTCTATTCGATCGGTGGGATTGTTGCGGAAATTGCGCTGCTGCGCCTACTCGTGTGCCCGCCTCGTCTGCCGGCCTTCACGGTGAAGGAGAAGATGCCACATGGCTTCTTCTATACCCACGCCGGGTGGCTGCTACTCGTCGCGTGTGTTGCGATCCCCAACGGTGTGGTTGATGTGGGCTTCTTCATTGCGTTGTTCGCCCGGCTGCCGCTCGAGACGTACACGCCGGCGCTAGTGGTGGGCAAACTCGCGAGGCCGTACGTTGCAGCTGCACTCTGCAGTGTCCCGTTTTTGACGAAGTTCCTGCAGGCCCCCGCGTGGTGGACCGCGCGGATGCCATCGCTGGAGCTGCACACTCCTGTGATGGNGTCCCGTTTTTGACGAAGTTCCTGCAGGCCCCCGCGTGGTGGACCGCGCGGATGCCATCGCTGGAGCTGCACACTCCTGTGATGGAGTTAGCGATGTGGACTGCTATTGCGGCAACGCTAATGCTTCTGGCCGCCCGCTACCTCGTCTCGGAGCCGTCAACGGCGGTGGACAAGGCGGTGGAGAGTATTGGCAACGCCAACGAGGATGAGAAGTAAGTATGAGGAGCGTTGCGTGGTAGAAGACATACCAGCAGTCATATAGACGGAGCGTAGGTCAAGGAGGAAAGGGGTGAGAGGTTTCTTGTAGATAGAGAAGAGAATACTGGTGTTTAAGTCGTACCAGAAGGCTAAGAGCGCGAAGCGGGAACGTGAAGCGTCACCTGCCACCCTTCAGGCCGCCCTTCTTCCCCTCCCCCCAATATACCCATGGACATATGTACGTTATTCGTCTAGTGTACGAAGCAATGGGCGGAATAAAGGGATAAATGCGGCGTATATACACAACGCTCTCTTGTACTATTTGTTCCCGCCCCCTCCTCCAATCAAAGAAAAAAGGTGGGAACAAGGACCCTCTGCGCGCATAGAGTGAGTGGGAGAAATGCGGGGCATACGGTTTAGCCACACGTGTCTCTTCATGGGCTATTATATGCCTTGGGTCACCCACTTTGGGGTCTTTTCCTCTAATACATATTTCCGTTCGTGTGTGTGTGTGTGATGGATCTTTGATTTTGGTGCGTGGGGTCCTCCTTTGGCTCTTCTTGTTCTTCACTCATCGTCTGGCTCTTTGCTGCTTCTACACACACACACACACACATATATATATATATATATATATAGCAGAGGAATATTAAAGAGACACAAACACCGGGAGCCATGCCCATGGGAGCACCCCACTACACCACCAACCCCGCACGCATAGCACGGTTGCAGGAGAACTACGACACTGGCGTTGAGCGGGAGAAGGTTATCGTGGCGGAGCGAGAGAAACTCGACATGCTGATCCTCAACGTCTCCAAGGAGAAGCTCCGGTTTCTTTTCCAGAATGCTCTGGAGTCGTACAGCCCTGAAATGAAGAATCAGAAGGTGAAGGACTATAACAAGTCACATGCGTTGCATAAGTCTGGCAGGTGGAAGGGGATCTTTTAGTAGATGAGGATAAGATGAGTGTAGCGACAGCAAGAATTGGGAATATGGGGCAGGGAATCTGTAGTTGTTTTTGTTTTATTGATACTTGTTTAGTTTCACAAGGCATTGATGGTGAGGTTGGTGGTAGGATTCGGGTGAGAAGGGAAATTAGAAGAAGAAGCAAAAAAAGGAAGCATGGAACACAAGAAGTGGTGTTGGTGAGTGTGTGCCAGCGGGGGGGCTTGCCACGATGTCGTTTTTCGGTCAATCTCCTCTCTCGCTTGCATTCCCCAACGGATACGCATCACCACTACTGCGCTTTAATTGTCCCCCTTTGCAGTCGGAGGTGCTGCCCATTGTGCAGATGAAGTAGAAGGTGGGGTGAGTGGTACCTATACGTGCAGAAGAAGGATTGCGCATATATCATTTGTTTTTTGTTGTTGTTGTTGTTGTCCTTGGTGTGCGGAAACCTCAGCTGTTTTCGGTTTAAGTGGGTAAGGTGTGTGTGTGCATGGGTCACTCGCACACATTCACATACATAGCGCAGGAGAACACGCAGCAACAACAACACAAAAAAAAAGAATTGCAATGCCGAAACCACACCGCGGGCCAATGAGCATGTGGGCGGTGCTGCTCACCGCGGTGGCGCACCTTCTTGCCTCGATGGTATGCATTGTTTTGCTCGCTGGTTACGCGATGCCGATGGGAAGCATCACGGCTGTGCAATCAAGCAGTTACTTTCATCTCGCTATGGCTGCGGTGACTTACCCGGTGCTTCGCTTCTTTGTCGTTGCCCCATTTGGGCGTCACGCCGCCACCACCACCGTCCGCCTCGCTTTGCCCGCGTCGCTTTCGTGGGCGCTGCAGGAGTGCCCGACGCTACTGAATGTTGTGTACTACATTCTCGTGGAGTACCCGTGCCACGCGCTCAACTGCAGCAGCGGCGAGTGGCTGCGCCTCGTGGCCCGTGATCCTCTGGGACGTGTGGCGGCTGTGGTAGCGAAGGGATTTGGGACACTGCACATTGGACTGGTCTTTTTCGTGCTGCATTATGTACACCGCAGTCTGCTCTACCCGCTGCGCGTGCGCCAGGGAACCCCTGTTCCGGTGCACGTGACCCTGAGTGCAACGCTCTACTGCATTTTCAATGGCCGTCTGCAGCTGCTGGCGAATATTCGAGAGAATGAGACCGAACCTCGCCTCCCGATTACGTCGCTGTGGCGGATGTTGTTGTGCATCATCGGTGTGGCCGTCTTCCTTGCGGGGATGTGGGTAAATATCGCGTCGGACTACTATCTTCTGCGCCTCAAGTCTCAGTTGCCGAGGCGTGCCTACAAGGTGCCTCACGGAGGGTGGTTTGAGTACGTCAGTTGTGCAAACTTCTTTGGCGAAATCGTGGAGTGGTGCGGCTACGCCCTTCTTGTGTGGGCGGCGAAGCCAGAGGCGGGACTGGCGGCGTGCAGCTTCTTCGTGTACGTCGTGGCGAACCTGCTGCCGCGCGGGCTTGCACACCATGAGTGGTACCAGAAGCAGTTTGGGGACGCCTACGCAGCACTACGGCGCCGGGCTGTGGTGCCGTGTGTGTACTAGCGACGAGCGGGGAGCGGAGTGGGTGCTTGAGGTTTCTGCCGCCTGCTTCTGTCGCTGGTTGCTTCTCTGGTACGGCACATGCAGGAAAGGGGCGGCAAGGAATATAAAGGAGAAAAAGGGCATACAGGCATGACGCACTTACTCACTCTCACTCTCACACACACCCACGAGTCATGTTCATGGGAACGCCCTGCCAAACAGGCGACTCGGCACGCCTCACACAGCTGCGGGGGACGGTTACGGCGCGGCAGCCTCGAGGAGTGGGGGGTGCGGACTGGCGGCTGTGGATGTCTATGCGTCTTACGTGGACGTCCGGCCGCATCGATATCGAAATCAGAAACGCTGCAAACGGCACCGTCTGTACTGGGATGCGCCGCGCACTCCGCATAGCTGGCGGGTTTCTTTCATGTACCCTGCATTCACACTCTTCCATCTGCGTGGTATTGGTACGAGGGGCAGTTCCGCCTCCTCAACAGGTATGTGGGAAGCACCTCCAGTATCTCTTTTTTATTTTTCGGTTTTCCCTATTTTTTTTTCTTTCCTTGCCTTCATGTCACTCTCCATGCGTGTGCCTGTGTGGTGAAAGGGCAGAGCGATAAACCGATCGGCGCCATGCCGGTGTTTGAGAACCGGCACCTGCTCCGTGTCCTGCAGCCCCCACAGCAGCAGGCGCAGCACTTCGTGGAGTACTGCCGTGCACATCAGGTGCTCACGCGAGGCCTCTGCCGCATCGGCGCAACGAGACGCGGGGGCATGCGGGGACTCATCGCCAACAAGGACATCAAGAAGGATGAGAATGTTGTGATGCTTCCACCGCGTGCCTGCCTGCACCCTGGAACGGCGCTAAAAGAGAAGCGTTTCTTTTCCCTATTCCCGGAGCAGGAGAGAGAAACGTATTTTCTGAAGCAGTCGTTTATTGAGAATAGCCGTGTTGCTGATCGCTCCATAATTCGGCACAATCAGTTCCTCCTCGCGTGCTACATGTCCTATCTCATCCTCCGAAACGACACGAATGAGGGTGGACAGGCACTCAGGTATGTGAACTTTATGCCCCGCAGTGAGGGCGACTTTGAGCAGCTTACCAGCAACATGAGCGGTGCGCTCGACAGCGCGGCGGTGTGCCGAGTAGGTCAATCCGTCCTCGCCTCACACTTTGGGGTGACGCAGGCAGAAATCAGGCCGCTGCTGCAGTGGTCGCTGGCGATGATATTCAGTCGCATGGTCCCGGTTGATCATCGCTGGACACTGAAGCACTCATTCAGCGATACGCCGTTCGAGAATGCCTTTGAAATGCGCGGGCCAAATGATGATAAAAGTCTTGTGAAGGAGCCCATCGCATTTTTGTGCCCAGTGATCGACATGTGCAACCACAGTGAGCATGAAAATGTTGCCGTGATGGTGCCGGAGCAAACTCCAACGGCGCATGAGCCTGTCATTTGTTTACGTTCGTTGAGGGACATTGAGAAGGGTGAGGAGCTCACCATGACGTACGGGGGGTCTCCCACAGAGCTGCGGGTTATTTGGGGAATGCAGCGCGTGCTGTGACATGTAGCACAATGCACTCTTGTCGGTGTTGCGTCTAATCCCCTCCCACCCACCCCAATGTGGGTGAGTGTGTTCTGTTATTTTTTTGTTGTGGTGGCGGTGGTGGTAGTGTGGATTGCGAAATGGGCACGAAAGGTGTCAGAAGATCCACCGAAGTTCTGCGTAGCCCCATTTCTGAGTTTGCCACTGCTTTTTGCTATTGTGATGCTGCATTTCTTCCTTTCCTTATATATGTCATTATCTGTACATGCTTGTATTATGAATTAAGGTGGGGATAGGTGAAATCTCTTCATTTACAGCTGTATGCGTTGTGCAGAGATAAACCACGGACTCCCGGCTGGTCTGTGAGTGTTTGTTTCCAGTCCGCCGCATAACCACTATAGTGTTCTGCATGTACTGCGTGTCTCGGCTGTGCTTGCGCCAGGGAGGGCGGCAGTGGATGCAACAGCAAGCCCGAGATCCCTTCGTTGCGGAGGCGCGCCGGCGCGGGTACGTTGCCCGCAGCGCCTTTAAGCTGCTCGACATGGATGACAAGTTCGGCCTCTTCTCCCGCAATCACACTCGCGTTGTGGTGGACGTTGGCTGCAGTCCTGGCAGCTGGTTGCAGGTGGTGCGTGAGCGTTGCGGCGAGGGCTGTGCGCTCTTCGGGGTCGACATGTTGCGCGTGTCCACCACTGTGGTGGGTGCTGTCTGCATCCAGGGAGACTTCACGAGCGAGCTGGTGCAGCAGGAACTTCTCGCGCGCATGGCAAGTGTCAATGCCACCGGGAAGGTGGATGTGGTGATGTCGGACATGTGTCTCAACAGAGGGACCGGGGGCACCGACGACCGGCAGAAGCAAATGCAGCTCAACATGCAGGCATTCGCCTTCGCCACAGCGCAGCTGGCGCCGGGTGGTCACTTTGTGTGCAAGGTGCTCGGCTCCCCCAGCGCGTACGAGCAGCTGCAGGACGAGACGCGGCGGTGGTTTGTGAAGACGGCACTCTGCAAGCCGTCTTCGAGCCGCCGTGGTAGCGATGAATCGTTTCTAGTGTGTCTCTCAAGACGAGAAACCCCACGGCCGCGAGGCAGCAGTGATAAGTGTGACCGCGGCTTCGGGCTCGACGACTGGCCGGGGCTCCTCCGAAGACCGCGGCGACGGTGAATGGCTTCTGGATGATCTGAATGACTACTTGCGCACATGCATGCGCACTATGACTCTCACTCCATAATTATGATTTATTGATATTTTATTCTTCCTTCATTTGTTAACAAAGGAGGGGGACATATAGGAGATTGTCGCCATGCGGCTCATCTTATGTCTGTTTTACGCATTGCTCTTGTCCGGGGTAACGCAGGCGTCGGCACCGTACATATACGACGGCGGTTTTGGCATGCTGATTGTTGGGAGCCACCACCTCAACGAGACAATGCATTTTCCCGAAGACATGGCAACAGAAGTGCGGCGGCAGTACGCGCTGGTTGGTGTGAGGAGGGGCCGGCGCTACATAATCCACATGTCGTACCTGGGCTCGCCGTCAATCCAGTACAGCATCCACGTGAGTCGCCTCCCACGGCCCGTTGTGGAGCAGCAGGTGTTGGGCATTGGGAAGCAGCATGAGGAACACATCCCTGGACGGCGGCAGCTTTCAGATGTGGCGGGACTCACATTTGATGCCCGCCTGGAAGAACCGCTTTTTGCGTATGTTGATGGAGAAGGCACCGTCGACAATGGCTACGTGGATGCAGCTCTGGATGACTATGTGCCTGTTGTTGAGGTCCGCGGCAAGCGCAACGCGTTTCCGGCGCGTCCGGAGCGATGGCGTCGGTTCTCCTACAACATACGCGTCGACATGGTGGGCGACGGTGAGGGGCTCGACCGCGTCGTTGCCGCCCACGTTGCGATCGTGATCGCCATGATAGCCGGTGCGCTCCTCTTCGTTCCGAGACTGATCACCGCTATTGCCGGAAATGCGCCGACGCCACGGCCGCGTCGTGACTTCATTCTCTTTCTGCTGGAGCGGTGAAAACCGAGCGAGGGAGAAATTCTGTGTAAATGTCGGGCCGCGGTGCAAGTGGCGTGGTGTGTGTGTGTGTGCATTGTATCCGCATTGGCCTCTGATCTATCCATCATGTTGCACCCTTTTGAATGGAAATGCGTTAAGCTGTGGGTGCTTGCGTCAGGAGGGTGCTCGAATGCGATGGGGTGTTATTGATTTGCTTCTCGTGTTTGTCAAAATAAATATGTACGTATGTATAGATATTTATTTATTTCTCTCTTCTTCGTTCTTCGCAAATGCTCGCCTCCCCGTGTTGCGCCCATCAAGAGCAACTAAAGGAGAGAAAAAAAAAAGCAAAGTACAAATTGCGTATTATCAGAAAGGTGGTAATGGAGGAGGTCCGGCAGCAGCACGATCACGATATCGTCCAGGCCTGCGAGGGGAATAGCGCCAGGTCGTATGTGGGGCGCGGCCTTGCCGACCGTCAGGCCCTGTACGCCGAGTCGTTGAGGGACCCCGCACTCTTC